GGAGCTGTGGTGGTCTAGTGTCAAGAAACTGCAATCTCAAAGGCATGCGGTTCAAATCCACCAGATGCTCCGCTGGAGAAGGGGGTGGGCAATCTCCTCCTGTGTCAGTCGGATCCAATTTGATGGTATAAGGAAAAAAAAAGAGAGAGAGAGAGAGAGAGAGAGAGAGAGAGAGAGAGAGAAAATGTATATAAGTGATAAAAATATAATTAAAAAAAGAGAGAAACTGACAAGGATATCTTTAAAGTGTTAAGAGGAGTAAATATGTTGGTTTAAAGACTACAAAACAAACTAAATAATCTAGAAAACCCATTGTGATTTACCAGAACATACTATACTTCAAGGAAAGGACATGTGTGCAGTGACATGACCGTTTTCGTAAAGTCACAGAACATAAGCCAGCTCCAGCTAATGTGAGAAGGATGCCTGTGGAGATGAAGCTGAAGATTAGATTTTTTTTTTTCCCTTTGTGAGACTCCCCAAAATGCCCAACAGTGGCAGAAAAAAAACAACCTGCAGCAGAGCCTGGCAGACAACACGCCCAAAACTCAAAAGGCCAAAATGTGCTTTTAAAAGGTTACAGCCAAAATGGGGATGGTAGTGAGCGTGGCTGGTAGGAAGGAGGTGTTTGCAGCCTTGGGCCCTGGTGGGGGGCTCTGGGACTGTGAAGTGGGGGCAGGCTGGGTCCAGGACTGACTCAAGACTCCTTCTCCCAGCTCTTGGGGAGCCCGAGATCCCCAAAAGCTACAGGAATCCAGGCATGGTGGTGGCTGTGTGCTTGCTGGTTTCTGTCCTGGTCATTGGTTCTGTGGTGATGGCTGTGAGGTGGTGTCGCCGTGGGGAAAACAAGTTCCAGAAGCTGGATGAGGTGTCCATGGTGAGGAGGGGGCTGGGCTGGGGGCTCCCAGATGTGGTGATCATCAGCTGCAGAGCTCGCTTTTGCCTGACCACCTCCCCTGTGTATTCTTCCTGCAGGGACCCATGAATGAGAGGTCTTCTTTTGCCCATGCTCTTCCAAACTGATCCTTGTGGGGACAACAGACTGGCGGTGGCAGCTAGATGGGGCTGGAGTGCTTGGGGCAGGGAGGGCCTGTGAATAAATCACTCGCTGCTCATTGACCCTCCAGACCCGTGTGTATAAATGTGTGATAAACATTTACTGAGTACCTGCTGTGTGCCAGGGACCGTGCCAAGCTCTCCACACTCACACACTCCCCTGTCTTGGGAATGAGAGGGTTAAATGAGATGATATCTGTTGGCACTGAGGGCCACAGAGTCACTGTGTGGAAATGTGATAGATAGATCACCAGGACCTTTGCATTCACATGGGCCAGGAGAGCAGGAAAGTCTCCCTGAGGACTGGATGCTGGAGTCAATACCTGAAATAAGAGACACAGGGCTAGGGAGACTAGAGGAGGGTGTCCCAGAAGAGGACACAGCATATGCAGAGGCCCTGTGATAGGGATATAGACTATATGTGAGTGTGATTGCAGCAGGGTGAACAAAGGTCCATGGAAAGCCTCAGGGCAATGAGGAAGGGAAGAGTGATGGCTTTATTCCAAAGGTGACAGGCTCCAAGAACTAGTCCCAAGCCCACAAATATCAGGATAGAGTTGATCTTAACATCCCTTGGGAGACAGTCTTTGCAATGACTGTTGTAAATTCCCTTTGATTCCAGCTCATGGCAGCCCCAGGTGTGCAGAACAGAACTGCCCGATAGAGTTGTCTGAGCTGTTATTGTCACAGATGCAGATTGCTAAACCACTGAGTGGATTTGAACCGTGAACGCTTTTTAGAAGCTGAGCTAACCAGAGCTCTTGTACAAAGGCTGAGAGGCGGGAGGGAGCCAGAGCTCCCAGGAGCTTTGTCCTGGACTGAATTATGACCCCTTCAAAAGCATGTATGAAATGACATAATGTGGAAACTATGTAAATGATCCTCCAACCTCTGATAAACCAAACAGTTGTGAGAGGCTTCACCTCGGAATACAATGCCCCTTAATCCCATCACAGCCCTGATGGATGTAAAGGAAGCTTCCCTGAGGGAAACTGTCACACCTTCTCTCTCATAAAAGGGGACAAACACAGGCCCAGAGACCGGACCACCAAGAAATGCTTTTCAGGGTCTTTCTCCACTGTTTACTTTCATAGAATGATCTATCTGTATGTGTGTGTATCTCAGATGTATCTTTTTAAAAAAATACGTAATTTTATTTTAATTGTGATTTTAACAAACATTTACAGAGAAGTTAGATTTTCATTCATTCATTCTTGCACATTTTACCCCTTGCCCTCTCTTCCTCCTTCCCCCCAGTTCACTCTTTTTTTTTTATATTCATTGTTGCATAATTACCCACCTCCTGACATATCTCTTATTCTGGGCTGTTGTCATACACGTAATGCCTAATCATATATTCATTTTAAATAGTTCTTTCTTTCATCTGTTCCAAAGCAATGGTCATTATCTATCCACTCTTATCCTATTCTCCTCCTAAATCCTCATGTCAGACCTGCTTTATAATAGTGGTGCTATGCAGTATTTGTCCTTTTGCATTGAGATATTTCACTCAGCCTGATGTGCTCCAGGGTCCCCCATGCCGTGTAATGTTTTATAAGTTCATTGTTTTTCAGTGCTGCGTAGTATTCCATTGGATGTATCTTTTATAATAAAATTGTCTATACTTTCACTTTTTAAAAAAATCGCATCCTTTTGGTCTCAGGCCCCTGAACTAGAAAGCTCCTTGAGTACAGGGGAAGGCCAATACACACACAGGTCTCCACAGGTCACCAGGCCTCCAGACACTTACAGAGATGAGGACCTCACCCAAGAGCCAACAGAGAGGGGGAGCTTCCCCCCATAGCTGGCACCCTGCACTTGGATGTCTAAACTAAACTGGAAGAGAATGACTGTGTTTTTTAAAGCTATCCACTTGTGGTACCTCTGTGATAGTGACACCAAATAATCAGACTGTGGTGGGTTCTGCCTTCTCCTGAAAACATCCCAATGGTGGACATGGGACCAGACTCTCCCTCTGAGGGCACAGGTAGGGGAAGCTGAGGCCCAGGAGGTGCAGGTCTATGGCTTGGGAGCACTCAGCAGAGTAGAAGGCTTCCTCAACCTTTCAGTCTTCCTAAGTAGAGGGGGAAACTGAGGCACTTAGCAAGGTCGCAACCTTGCACCTCACACCTTTCCTGCACATCTTCAGGTTGGAGCCCTCCCTGTCAGGGCGAGGTTTATCAGCTGTGAAATGGGGTGCTCAGAGCGGGTCACCCAGCTGGTTGGGGCTGAAGCCTGTCTGAGGGAGGGTCACGCTCTGATGGCCCTTTCTGAAGGGAGGAGACACAGGGCCTCCTGGGCAGGTGGCTGAGCAGGTGAAATATTAACCTACAGCAGGGCAGGCCCCTTTCTCCTTGGAACGTCCCTTCTCCCACCCCTGCCCACGCACTCCCTGTCAGCCTCCCCTGGGGGGGGCATACCCTGAAGCAGCTCCGCCTCTCTCATGACTTCTAGGGGTGCAGCATCAAGTGGAGCCAGCCTCCCACCTTGGATGGTACAACAAAGGGTGGGAGAGCATTCTCAGGGATTTTGGGGACCCCCCCCAAGAGATCATCCAACCGCCTCCCTTCATGGGCTCTGCAGGGAACACGTGTCCTAGACCCCAAGCCAGGGAAAATCACTCCCCATCCTCCTCCTAAAGCTAGCTCCACCTTTCTGTTTCCATTTCTCTCCTCTTGCATATTTAGAACCAAGAATTAGGCCCACACGATGGAATATTAACCACCACCCTTGACTCCATTCTGAGGCGCGGAGACCCTGTATGTCTCTGAGCAGAACAAGTCTCTATGAAGTTTTCAGTGGCTATTTTTTCAGCAGCAGACTGCCACGCCTTTCTTCCTCGGCACCACTGGGGATGTTCAAACCGCCAACCTCTATGTCCTAGCAAACCAGTCACGGTGCTCAGCTCTGCCCTGAAAGGGAAGGAGGAACTGGTGTGTGCCGTTAACGTGATGAACCTTAAAAAAAAACACAATGTTCAGTGAAAGAAGCCAGACTCAAAAAGGATAAACAGTGTGCGGACCTGTTAACGGGAAACATCCAGGGTGTGGGGTGGGTCTGTGGAGACAAGCTTAGCGGTTGCCAGGGGCTGGGGGAGGGGATTGGAGAGAGCCTGCTAATGGGTACAAGGTCTCCTTTTGGGGTGATAAGAATGTTCTAGAACTGGATAGAGGAGGCGGGGGTTGTACAGTCTTGTGAAAATGTCACTGAATTGTAAACTGTAATGATTTTCTTGAGTCTGTTAATTTCACATCCATTTTTTTAAAAGTTAGAACAAACTTGGGAATAATTACACATAACATTCTTCCACGCCATGGGTGCCCCATGCCCCCTGTCCCCTCACACCCTCCTGGTCACTGCACACACCCCCTGGCTGGAGTCTCCAGGGTGGTGTGGTCTGCCTCAGGGCCTGGCACTCAGAGAGTTAAGGAACTTGGCTGGGGTGGCGGGGGAGACCTGGGCCACCAGGCAGGTCCAGCCCCACCCCCTCCTGATCCCTGGGAGGTCACACGACGGGGCTGGTGGCGGGCAGTACCAGGCCTGCCACACTTCCCGGGTCTGTGTGAGAGCTGGGGGTTTTCCATCAGCAGGTTAGGGTCTCACTTAGCCCAGGCAAGACTCCCTGAAATGACAGAGCTGGGACAGGGGCTGGGTGGTCCCCTATGGGACCTGGATTAGGACTCCCCTTTTCCTCAGGTTCCCAGTGAAGCTGAGTAGGGAGGGAGCTTTGGGGTGAGTGGGCACCAGGGACTCCTGGGGCAGAGAGGCTCCTGGGGACGGTCCTCTGAGATGTCCCAAGATAAGGGTCTGCAGGCTCCAGAAGAAGCTTCAGGGTGTGGCAGTGAGCTGCCCATCGGAGGAGTATTACAGAGGTGTGGGTGGCCGCCAGCTGGCGGGATAAACTCACCCCCACCTGCCACAGCTCCAGACCACCCTGGACAGACATGCGGCGCAGCGGAACGGCTCACTCCTTCCTGCTCTGCGAGGTGAGGGGCCAGGCTGGGCTGGGGTCGAGTGGGGTGGGCTTCCCTCAGCCAGACTGTGAGAGAAGGACCTTAGGAACCCTGAACGCTAAGACGAGTCGATTCCAATTCCTAGTGACCCCACATGCATGGATCAGGTCCAGAACAAGAGCCTGTGGATCGCGTGCCTGCCCCATTGTGTGCCAGCCTCACCAGCTCTGCCCACGGTTGCCACCACTGGGTTGACCCATCTTTTAAGGGTCTTCTTTTTCCCTAATTGTCTACTTTGCCAAAGGAAACCCGGCAACCCGGTGCATAAGGGGCTGTTAATGAAAGCTCTACCAGTTATTCCAAAGGAGAAAAATGGGCCGTCTCCTTCCACAGAGATTTAGAGCCTCGGAGCCCCAGTTGATGGTTACCCCACATGAGAACCAACTCTGTGGCAGTGAGTACGCTTCCCCAGCATCACGTCCTTCTCCAGGGACTGGGCCGTCCTGACAACATGCCCGAGGCTGTGAGGTGAAGCCTCGCTGTCCTTGCCTCTACAGAGCACCCTCACTGCACTTTCCCCAAGACGGCTTTGCTTCTGTGACCGTCCATGGGATACTTGCTATAGAACACTTCTGTTGTTGTTGTGTACCGTCCAGTCAGAACCGACGCAGAGCTGACCCTTCAGCGGGTATTCAGAGGCAGTTAATGGCACGGGAGGAGATTGCCCATCCTTCTCCTGTGCAGCAGCTGGTGGCCTCAAACCGTGTGCCTCAGGGATTGCAGTGCAGCTTCTTGCCACTAGACCACCAGAGCTCCACATATAGCATCTCTGGGCAGGTTCAAAGCACCAAACCTTCAGTCAGTAGTTGAGTGCTTAACCATTTGCACCATCTGGGGACTCTGAGGACCAGCCTACAGCTGGGGAAACTGAGGTGCAGAGATACCCAGGTGTTCAGGCCAGAACAGTAGCCACTACCTTTGGAGGCAGGGGGCCTAGAGGCCCCTCAGGACTGGAGGCAAGGCCTCTGATGAGCCGAGGGCAGGAAATTCGATCCTGGAAACTGAGGCAGGAGGAAAGGTAGGATCTGCAGAGGTGGCGGCAGGAGCTGGATTAAGGTCTGGGCTGGTCACCTCTCTGGTCCTCAGTCTTAGTTCATGGGGAAAAAATAGTCTAAAATTTTGCAGAGTGAGCAGCCCCCAGGGCGGTGCCAGCCTCGCCCGGCTCAGCCAAGAGACTGTGGAATGAAGACGTCGATGCTGCTGAGGCCCCCTGAGCCCTGGCCCCATCTGCGTTAACTCAGTTTATTAACATGACCCCGCTCTGAGAAAGGAGAGAACCAAGATGAGTGTATCTCCAGATACGCCTTAGGAAACTGATGCACAGAGTGGCTAACTTCTCCTGAGTGCATCTGAACTCAACCCAGTGGGACCTCAAGTCCCTGCTCTGACCCCCTCACCCACTGTACCCCACCACTGGGACCCCAGCGCCAGGGTCATCTTGCTCCTCCTCCCCTCTAAAGTGGACGGTGGTATTGACCCGGCAACCCTGAGACCAGGTGCTTCCCATCCTGAGCCAAACACCCTCCCTTTAAAATGGGGACCACCTGACACTTCTTCAAATTTTATTTGAAGCTTCGTTCACTCCACTTACGTGTGTTTGTGGGAACCCAGCCACACACAGTGACAGGACAGAGCCTGCTCACCCACCCAGGACTCACATTGAAGGGAAGGGCAGACCCATAAAAGAAATAAGGAAAAAAGGACAGATAAAGAAATCAAGAAAAGATAAAGACATAAAGAGAAGGAATGAAAGGAGGCATCATTGGGGCGACCCCAGCAGGAATGAAGGAGGAGGGGTCCTCTGAGGGGTTTGTTCTGCTGGAACTGGACAAAGTGAGAACACACAGAACTGGGAGAAGAACCTCCAACAGCCTGCACAGTGGAGTGAGGGTCCCACAGTGGGGAGGAGGCAGGAAGCTAAAGATTAGCAAAGAAGCTGATGGGACTAGGGTGCTGGGAAGGGAGAGAGGGAGCTAAGGATGAGATGTGGGTGGGCTTGAGCCTCTCGGGTTCTCAGGGCTGCAGTGAGGGCTTTTATCTTGTTCTAGGGGCTCTGGGAGCCATGGGAGGTTGAGGGGCAGGTTTCCAATTAGTCTTGGAGATCTGACTTGGGGTGCAACCAAGGCCAGGACATGCAGGATCCTGGATGAGTCGATGGACAAAGCAGCAGTCATCTGAGGGGGCTTCCTTGCCCTGGGCCTCTGCCAGCCCTCTATCCCCTTCCTGCCGTCTCCCCAAGGAGAACAGTTTGTATAGAGACGCTGTGTTTGACAGGAACAGCTGTGGGGAGGTCCAGAGGAGTCCCTGCACCTGCATTCAGTTCTTATACCCCCTGTCCTGTCGTGAGAGCACAGGGACAGCCAGCCTGTGTCCCTGGAAATCTTTTCTGCATTTGTTATATTAGTGCCTTCTGCCTCTCCCACTGGACCAGGAGCCCCAAAAGTCTAGGCCAGGCCACTCCATTCCCAGCCCTGCCCTCAGGCTCCCAGCCCAAATGCCTGATTCCCCAGCGAGATCAGCCATGCTTGTTAAGTTAATAAATGCCTGGGTGTGAACCTGGGCAAGGGGCTTTCTCATCTGGGACTTGTTTTCCCAGAGAACAAGCAGGTAGCACTTTGGTGGGCCTCCCACTCTGGGAAGGGCACCCCCTCCCCACACACTCCACTTTCTGTTCTCCTACACACCCTCTCGGCTTCTGGGAACACAGTCCCAGGGGGATGTCTGAAATTGAGCACTTAGATTTCTGCATTAGAGCACAGGTGCCCCTGGGATATAGTAGGGCTAAGTCATGCTCAGATAGGGGGGCCGTCAAGTATCCTGGGTCCTAGAAATGCCGGCTATGGGCGGCTAAGCAGTCATGGTCACTGGCTTGCTTTGGGACACTCAGCACATCCTCTTGTCCTCTCAGAACGTCGGTATCATCCTTTGTAAAATGGAAAAAAAAGACCCACACCAAAGGGTGATGAGGGAGTCAGATACTTTGTGGGAGCTCAACCTTTATCCCTTCCTCTTCTTCTCTCCTCTCCTTGCCCTGGCTCTGGTCCTGATCCTTGATGTATTTTGGACCTCAACGTCCCTCTCTGTTTATAAACACAGGCTTATTCAGAAGACTGAGGGACAAAGCAGATGTATTGCTTCTCTGAGCCACACCTCTCCCACGTCCCTGGTTTGTCTCCTCTACACTCCCAACCCAAGGCTGTGGGTTCCAGGTTTTGCTAGCTAGTTCTTGGGGTCAGCACCTCAGAGAGCACTCAGCTTGTACACATGGACCCCACTGTGTTTTGTGGTTTGTTTTTTTTTTTCAATGACCTTGTGGAATTGGTACCCTTTCATCCCTATTTCTTTCCAAAAAAAGAATGGATGTCTTTGAGTTGTGGTGCTGGAAAAGAGTGTTTAATATACACCATGGATTAGTAAGAGAAAATACAATATGTCTTAGAAAAGTGCAGCCAGGGTGCTCCTTGGGGTCCAGGACAGTGAAACTTATCTGAAACTTAGGGTACGTTGTTGGGAGAAGCCCATCCTTGGGAAGGACATCATGGTGGGAAAGGTATCAGACCAGAGAAGGAGAGGAAGGCCCTTCACAAGATGGTTTGACGCAGCGACTGTAACGGCGGGCTTCAGTGTGTCAGAGATGATGAGGGTGGCACACAACACGACGGGGCTCAGATCCACTGTTCATAGGGTTGCTATGAGTCGCAGTTGACTTGACGGCACTTAACAACAATATCCCCATTTCACAGATGGGAAAACTGAGGCATGTGTGCTCTAGACCACAAGGTATGGCGTGAACCCAGATCTCTATGGCTGGAAAACTATGCCAATTCTGTTTGTTTCTAAAAGTGTCTTGAGCATTTACACCATCACCTCATTTAAATTCTCCACTTCAGACCTTCCTCCTGACAACAGGAGCCCAGCGCAGCCCAGGTTCCTTCCTCAAGCACAGCCACTACGTGTCTCCGTCAGTAGAGCCCTGTGAGTTGCTAGGGTGATGCACAGATTTCAACCGCACTTCTAGACTAACGTGGAGCAGCAAGAGAAGTCTGGTGATCAATTTAAAAAAAGCCAACCAGTGAATACTGCGTGTATCGTAAAGACCCCACCCGCAGCCAATCTCAGGACGGCACAGGACTGGACGGCGTTTCATTTTGTTGTGCATGGGGCTGCCGTGAACTATGGGTGGACTTTACAGCAATAATTACCTCATATAAGTTTTAGTAACAAATATATTATTACCTGGTTTGATAATAACTAATTCTGTAATACCTACTGTGGACGAGGAACTTGATATCCCACAAGTTTGATCTCCACGCTCTCATTTCGCCGAGGAATAAATTCCATCTTATTTATCTTGTGTTGCTGTAACAGAAATACCACCCCTGGAGGGCTCCAAAAAGGAGAAATGTATTCTCTCACAGTTTGTTGTTGTTGTTGTTGTTATGTGCCGTCGAGTCGTTTGCAACTCATAGCGACCCTATGTACAACAGCCCTAAACCCTGCTCTATCCTGTGCCAATTGCATTGCCTCTGACACACCCATCCCGATCACTCCAGTCACTGAATCAATCCACCTCATAGAGGGTCTTCCCCTCCTGCGCTGTCCCTCTACTCTACCCAGCATGATGTCCCTCTCTAAAGACCTGTCTCTCCTTACAACATGTCCAAAGTATGTCAGACGAAGCCCCAGAATCCTTGCCTTCAAGGAGTAGCCTGGTTTAACCCTCTCTAGGATGAACCTGTTTGTTTTCTTAGCAGTCCATGGTACTCTCAATACTCTTCTCCAGCACCACAGCTCAAAGGCATCAATTCTCCTTCTATCCTCCCTAGTCATTGTTGTTGTTAGATGCTCTTATACCTACTACAACTCATAGTGACCATGTGAACAACAGATCTGAACCTTGCCTATCCTGTGCCAGCCTCATGATGTCTGTTTTACTCAAGTCCATTGTTACAGTCACTGTCAAGTCCTTGTTGTGGGTCTTCTTCTCTTTCTTTGACCTTCCACCTTCCCAGTGTGATACCTCTCTCCAAGAAGTCATGCCCAAAGCCAACCAAGCTTTGCTATCCTTGCCTCTCAGGAGCACTTGAGTTGTGCTTCCTTCAAGATAAGTTTATTCTTTTGGCAGTTCGTGAAATAGTCATACTCTTCATCAATACTGCAATAATGGCATTTAAACAACATACAAAGCATTTAATCTTTTTGTTGTTGTTTTTGTTGTACCATCAAGTCAGAACCAGCCCATAGCTGACCCTCCCGCAGGTTTTCAGAGTTGGTTAATCACACAGGAAGAGATTGTCCCTCCATCTCCTGTGGAGCAGCTGGTGGCCTTGAACAGTGTGCCTTCAGGATTGTAGCACAGCTTCTTGTCACTAGCCCACTAGAGCTCCCTTTATTCTTTTTAGGTCCTCCTTATTAATTGTCCAACTTTCAGATATATTAGAAGTTGGGTTAGCAATTGAAAATCTATGGCATGGATCAAGTGCACCTTAATCTTTAAACTGACATCCTTGTTCTTTAGAACTTTGGAGAGATCTTTATTCTAGAGGTGACACAGTTCAATCCACATACTTAGGACACATCTTTTAGGGGAAACACAATTCAGGCCATGACAATTCAGGCTCAGAGAGGAAGTAGGACTAAGAGACAGTTGTTGGGCCTGGCCCAGCAATCAAGGTGGGGTCATGGTTCCTAGGATCCTGGGGGGGGGGTGTCCTATGCCCAAGAACTCACCTTTGTCTTGCTTATATCTCCCCAGCGGATCCGAGAGTCGGCAGAGTCTGCCTCAGCTCCCGTGAGTCCCCTCGGTAGTGGTGTCATTCGGAGACGCTTCTCAGGGACGCCTTTGCTGCCCCCCCTGCCGAGCCGCCTTGGGCCCACAGGTGAGGTCGAATCCAGTGCTCGTGTTGTGTTCACCATCGAAGCTCGAGGACCTGAGCGGAGCTATGGGCCAACTCCAGGCAGGTGAGGAGACAACTGAGGATGGGGCTCTGGTCCCAGGAGAAGGAGATCTAGAGACAGACACATGAGAAACACAGAGATGGATGGATGGATGGATGGATGGATGAATGGATGCTGATGATGGACTCTGACTCATGCTGATTCGTAAACAACAGACGAAATGCTGTCTGGTCCTACGTCACCCTCATAATCATCCTTTCTCACTCTCCACTCTGAATGCCATCAAGTTGGAATCAACTCTCGTAAATCCATTGTGGTTATTGTGACAATCTGTCTCTCTCACTCTCAGCAGCCCCATTCGTTAGCAAACATGATGTTCTTCTCCAGCAATTAAAACCAAGAGAGCTGGGAAATGTTCTCTTTGTGACCCATGGGGCTTCCACTGACTAATATTCTGAAGGGAGCTCTGGTGTCATCCTTTGTAGGGAGCTGAGCTGCTAAATCAAAGACCACTTGTACTCTGTGGGGTTCAAATCCACCAGCAGAAATTCCCCAGGAGAAAGATGAACAATCTCCTGTGTGGTTTACAGCCTTAGAAACCCACGGGAGGGGCAGCTATGAGTCAGGCCCATCTTGATGGCAATAAGAATGAGAGAGAGAAAATTCTGAAGTAGATTCCCACGCCTTTCTTCCTCATCTGTTTTCATCTAGAAATTAGTGAGACTTGTCTGACAATTCTGTTAGTATTTGAAATACAAGCAGCATAGTTCCACCATCATACAAGTCAGATGGATGTTGGAGGCAGGGCATACCTTATATCTGAGTGATTCTCTAATTTGTTCAGAAAGTATTTATGGAGTACCTACTGTGTGCCAGACCCTCTCTTGGGGACACAGCCACAGAAAAGTTGGTACACTCAGTCTGATGTGGAAGACAAGTTCATAATCAGATGGTGACAGCACAGGATGATACAACTATGATGGGGAGAGATCAGGGCATTGTGGGAGTAGGGGAGAGGCCAGAGAGGCAGCCTGTGGAAAAGTGGCATATATGCTTGGCAAAAACACAGAGAGAAGTCAGGGATATGCTGAGAAGGGCATGTCAAGCAGAGGGAACAGAATGTGCAAAGCCATAGGCTCAAGAAGATTAAGTGTCTGAGGAGTTGAACATAGACTGGTGTGGCTAGCTGGTGGGAGAGGAGACTAGGGACCAGGCAGGAGCTGGACCATGCAGGCCTGCATGCATCACAACCAGGAAGGCTTTCAGGGAAATAAACTGATCCAACTCCCACTTGAACAATCTCTCTGTGGCTGTGGAAGATAGAATCGGCTGTCAGGATTGGATGGGAATGCTAAGACACCAACGAGGAAGTTTGGGCAGTGCCCGAGGCAGAGTGGGACCCAGGACCTAAAGCGGTGATGTCAGAATGGGAAGATGTGTTTAAGGTAGAAAACCAGGGGTTGATGGCTACAAGGAGGTGATTGAGGAGAAGGGGCCTGTTGTGAACAGCACCTAACCATGACATTTCATGTGACATTTTGCAATGGTGTCAAGAGGTGAAGACACCAACATTATACCTATTTTTCAGAAAGGAAAACTGAGGCCCAGACAAGAGAGCAAAAGAAGTAACAGAGACCGTGTCTCAAATTGTCTGCCACTGTCAACTCTTGGGGTGGACAAGAATTGCACAATGAGAAGGAGAGCCAGTAGGAGACTGAGTCACGTATAGAAAGAACAGCAAAGAGCAGTGTGTGCGCGCGCGCATGTGTGTGTGTGGCCCTGGTGGCCTAGTGATAAGGAGCTGTGCTGTCATCCCAAAGGCACATAGTTCAAATCCACCAGCCATTAGCTACTCCATGGAAGAAAGATGTGAAATCTCCTCCTGAGTGTTTTTTTGTCTCTGAAAAACTCACTGGAGGGTCTTCTCTGAGACAATTTTAATTCAACTGTACATGGTAACAACATGTGTATGTACACTTTTAATCACACAGCAAGGATGTGGTGGCCCTGGGACTTGAACTTATTTCGTCTGTCTCACTGGTCCCTATGTATTTCATTTCTGTAATCAGAGAGGAGTGCGGGGACGGGGGAACTAGTCTTCACTAGGAGTGTCTCTACTGGGGGTTGGTTATGTCTATTCTTGCTATAGATTTTAGAGAAAGAAATGGCTACTCCTGGTTTCTGGTGGCTTCTGACAACCCTCAGTGATCTTTGGCTGCATGTAGATGTCTTCTCCATGTGTGTCCTGAACCATACTGCTCTTTTATTAAAAACACTGCTCAGAAGGGACCAGGCGTAGAACCCACTCCATTCTGGTATAACTATTAACATAACAAAGCGAACCCTCTTATTCCAATCAGGGACACACTCACAGGTCCATGAGCTAGAGCTTCAGCATCTTTTTGGAGAATACCATTCTATCTACACCCAATGAGTCTCTAATACCCTCCCTGGCCCCTGCCCAGAGTCCACAGGTGGCTGAACCACATCTGTGTGCTTCACAGCCTCCTGCCCAGCTCTGCAGCATCCCAGTCTACTTCTAGAAGCTCGATAGAAAATGGTCTTCCCGTCCATCACTTCCCAGGAAATTACCTCTGAGATCAGAGTGCCTAGTGAACAGGCACTTAAATTTCCAGGACTGAGGGAGGGAGGGGCAGGCCTGGGTTGTGAGGGTAGGAATCCTGCTTGAAGGGTGGGGCCCTGTGAGTCACAGTGCAAACGAGATCGTGCCATTTTTGCTGAGGGTCCGGGTGCTGGTGCAGCTATTAAAAGGGTGGGGAGGGGGGGCCTCCAGGAGCTCTGGCTGCTTGTCCCAAGCTTTCAGAAAAGGTGGGTACCCTTCTTGACAGTCCACCCCCAACCCAGAATCACCCCAGGAGCATGAAGAGGAGGTCTTAGAAGCAGAACTAGGATTCTTAATGGAGGGTTGTGACTTCTCCTTAGGTCCCTTCTCTCTCGGGTGACTCCTCTGAGCCCTGGCTAGCCTCCGTGTGCCCATCCGAGGCACTGGAGGTCCCCTCCACAGCCCATCCCATTTTTCTATCTTCTCAGGATCCCTTTCCTGTAGAAAGAGACCCTTTCTGGGCTGGACCTATCTTCCAGGGGCTGGCAGAGACTCCACCATCTGGACCTACTTCCAAAGACCAGAGCCCTCAACTCTGCTTTTCAGATCCGCTGACACTGGGGAGGGTTGACTGAGGACCCACCACTAATCAGCTTTCAGCACCTGCTGGGTGGACAGCTTTCTGGTTTAGGGGTGCACCTGAACCCCTATCATCCTGCAAAGACAGCCTTCAGCACCAGCCGAGTGTGGACAGCTCCTCACTGTCGCATCCACTCGGAGCCCCTGAACCTACTCCTACAGGCTTCCCTTTCAGCACCAGAAAGAGAAACAGCGCCACAGCAGTTGGGGTCTCCTATTCCACAAGAGCCAGAGGGCAATTTCTGTCTCCTCCACCTCATGCTCTTTTCTTGAGCCCTCAGAAGTACCCCCAAGCCCCGTTTTCTTCCAGTCTCTCCACCCTTGCTGTGCTTCAGCACCGGCGAGGCACGGACAGTTCCCCACGTTTCCCCCTACCTTACGCGCCTGGCTCTACCTTCTCCCGCTTCAGCATCTCCGCGGCGGACAGCTCCTCCCAGTTGCTCCTGGCCAGACCCTGTGACTCCCAGCCCTGCTCGCCTCTGCATGCCCTCGGGCATGGAGACCCCGAGAGTCGGCAAACGGGTGGAGGCATTCCTTGGGCTGAGCGGGCTTTGCAGCCGCCAGGGCACAGCCAGGCCCCCGAAGCACCTGTGGCGGCAGCCCCGGCGCCCCATTCGCATCCAGCAGCGCTTCCACTCGGACCCGGCCAAGTCGGTGCGCACCTGCGAGCCCCACGGGAGTCCGCGGCCCGGGCTGGAGAAGTCGCGGTGCTCGTGGCCCACCTCCTACCCCCGGCGGTAGGGAGCATGGGGGAGGGGCGCGCGGGGCCTGGCGGGAGTGGGGGAGGGTCCTGCCTGCCGGGGGGCGGGGGCCGCCTACGCCGAGGCCAGCACTTTGCAGCGAAAGGCTGTCTGGAGGTGGGAGTGAGGCCATGGCTGGCTGAGTCTGTGAGACTGACTCCAGGATGCCCAGGTGTGGTTGGGTCTGAGTGCGTGTGTACGTATGTGTACTGTTCAAAGCTCACTGAAGCTTTAGAGGTGACCTGGTGTCTTTGAGTATAAATGTCATGTGTCTGTTTGTGTGTGTGTCCCCCTCCTAGTGTGGGGACCTTCCGGCGTGTGTGTGTGTTTGTCTACTGGCAGTGCCCATGTGTGTGTGGCAGGGTGGGGCCTTCCTCCTGCTGGCCAGCTTGGCTATCTGGGAGTCCCCTAGACCACACATAGAGTACTCATGAGTCTTTGAGGGGGATCATGGACACTGAGAATCTGAGGTGCTCATGACTGGAGGTGTGAGAGGGAGGGACCTAGGCTGTCCCTGGTGGATGCTAAAGAGAGAAATTTCCCACTAGACCTCCTCTGTCTTCTCCCCCTCTTCCTACTCTACCCTCCCCACCATTTGCCTGTTCCCCACACATGGGCTCCTCCTCTACTTATGGTAAGAGAAGGGAAAGCCCTTCTGGAAGCAGAAATGCAGGAACTTCTACTACTGAGGGGAAAACGGGGGAGGTTAAGGTGGGGCAGGAACTGCTCCTAAATCTTACAAACCAGAGGGGCACAGCAGATGGGATAGATGAGATGTGGCAAAGAGTAACAGGTGGCAGAGAGCAGATGGGGGGGGTGCTCTCCAAACTGGCAGGACAGTGTCCAGGAGCCTCAGGCCCTCCCTGGGTGAAAAGGAAAGGAGGCCCTAGTTCAGGTCTGACTTGGAGTCTACCTTGGGTGGGCCACTTCTATCTCTGGCCCTTGCTCCTCTTTCCCCCATCATCGGTTCCTGAGCTTCCTAGGGCTGCGGGGTTCTTACTGGAACAACAGACCTGTCTGAAGGCTTAGGAAGCAGCCTTAGGAAGCAGGCCAGAGCAGAGGGGCCCCAGGGTGCTGTGAAGTTGGAACCATGCCCAGGTGACCCGGCAGGGCCCTTGACC